TTTTTTTTTTTTTTTTCTTTCTTGTTTTATTTTCTTTTTCTGGTGGAGGCCATGAATGGCACTGGCGTTTTATAAAAATATCTGGGAAGTAAATTTTTTTTGAGATTTTGCATGTGTGAAAATGTCTTCATTCTATTTTCACATTGATTAGTAGTTTGGCTGGTATAAAAGTTTCCCCCTCAGAATTTTGGAGACTTTTTTTCTTTGTCTTAAGGCTTCCAAAGTTGCTCTGGGGACCCTGGAGCGATTCAAATTCTTAATTCTTGAACGTATCGTCTCTCCTTCCCTTTTCTGGCAACTTGTATGATCATCTGTGTGTTCCTGTTTTTAGTTTCATGATGTGAGTATCTTTTCATCTCACTGCTTTGGACACTTGGTGGACATTTCAAGCTGGAAACATGTTCCTGAATTGGAGATGACTCCATTTTATTTTATTTCCTCCTCTTCATATTTTTATTTTCTTTCTGAACTTTTTGCTGCTTACAGGCTAGATATTCCGAACCAGTTGTCTGATTTTCTTAGTTTCTTTCCTGCTTTTTCTTCTCTTTGTCCTTATGTTCTACTTTCTAGGGAATCTCAGTTTTATCTCTTAGCCTTTTTATTGAGTTTTTCTTTTGTGTTGACATGTTTTCATGCCTATGAAATCTTTTGTGTTTTGCTGACTAATTGTTTTGTACAACATTTTGTTTTCTTTTTATGAATGCAGTGTTTTAATTACCAAATATAATGATACATTTTTCCAAGCTTTTATCTCTGCTTGATCTCTGTTTCTTTCAAGGTGCTGTTTTCTACTTAGTTTTTTGTTGTTGTTGTTCTCTTTTTTATAGCAAACATTTTAATCATATCTGTTGATCCTTGGTTGCCTTTTCTTATTTACTTATTTACTTTCTATTATGAAAAATTTGAATCATACACAATAAAGGAAGAAGAGTGTAATGAACTCTGAAGCACCACCCAACCTCAAGATCAACATTTTGTCTATGTAAATTTAGGAGTGGGCACTAAAAAAACTGAGTGGAAGGATTGCATGTGTGGTATGGTGGGGAGGCTTGCTGATTGTGTGTTTTTTTCTTTTTATTGAGACAGGATCTCACTCTGTTGCCAGGGTGGAGTGCAGTGGCACGATCTCAGCTCACTGCAACTCCCGCCTCCAGAGTTCAAGTGATCCCTCTGCTTCAGCCTCCCTAGTAACTAGGACTACAGGTGTGCGCCACTATGCCCGGCAAATTTTTGTATTTTTAGTGGAGACAGTGTTTCACCATGTTAGCCAGGCTTGTCTCGAACTCCTGACCTCAGGTGATCCGCCTACCTTGACCTCCCAAAGTTCTAGGATTACAGCCATGAGCCACTTTGCCCAGCCATGATTGTGTGTTTTCCTTTTAGGATGATCTGGCTGGGTTTTGTAGGAGAATGTTTTCATATTAATTTTTGAAGGTCTTTCCTCAGTGAAAGATCCCTCAGTCTCTTGCCTGTTAGATGCTGATGTAATCTTGCTGTTTTATATCATATCCCTGTTCTTGATTACGTGGTATCTCCTTGTCTTTAAACCATCTGTTTTGTCTTAGCAGGAAACAAATAGCTGGTTTTATGCTGGTTCAGAAGAGGGCCGGTTATTTGTCTGCTTCTATATCTAGATGAGATCTTGGCATCAAACTGCTTTCTGAACATTTTGTAGAAGTCCTCTTATTATTACTTCCTTTTCACTGTCCTCAAATCTCTGTCCCCCAAATGTATGCATGCACGCATGTGCTCGTGTACACACACACACACACACACACACACACCCTCTAAATACCTGGTGCCATAAGTTCCTCAGTCTTTTTTCTGTAGTATAAGTCAGGTAGTTTGTCTTTACCTGCCCCCCTGCTGGATTTTTGCTTAGGTTTCTTAGTTGGCTAAATCATTTAGCATTTGTCTTTCTTTCCAGCTTCCAAAGTGAATTACTTTATCCCTTCTTATGCTGTCTTTGTATTTCTGGTTTTAGTTCTTAAAAAAAAATTCCTCCTGTATCCTTTTAGTTGGCTTTGGAAAAGAACAGTAGTAAATGCACGTGTTGAAATCGTTCATCTGTCAGCCTTCTCCAGATGTTAACACAGTGATTTCTATACTGTGCATTTATTTGGTAGAGCAGGAACATAGAGTGCAGAGCTTGTTTAAGAGGAACTGGTCAGGAAGGCTAAGTGAACATCTCTTGAAGGTCAGAGAAAGAAACATTACGATAATTTATTTTTGTTTTAGAAAAATAGGGCACCACTGAGGACACTGGTTTGGCAGTGGGTAAAACTAAGGTCAAGTAGACTAATTAGGAGACCCTGTTAATCAGAAAAAAGATGATGAAGACCTGAGTTATGGAGAGAAGGGGAAAGATTTGAAAAATATTAAGGAGATAAAACTGAAGAAGAACCAGGAGGTAGTTATGATAGTAATTTGCCACTGGGTAGACAGTGATTCATGTCACTTGAGTTAGAAAATAAAGGAAGAGGACCTGTGTGTTGAGAAGACAATAAGTTGGCTCAGTATTAGAGGTTGAGATACCTCTGACAGATGATGTACTGTAGTTACTTGATTGTCTGGAGTTCAGACAGTTGTTGCAGAGTCATCAGTGTGTTTATGGGACATGAGAAGTGAGACAAGGATAGTAGCCTGAGAAAGACCAATATTTAGAGGGTGATTTTTTTTTTCCTTAACTTTTCTTTTATGGAAATAATTATAGATTCACAGGAAATTTCAAAGATGGTATATAGAGATACCATGTATCCTTCACTCAATTTCTCCTTACATCTTCTGTAATTATAGTAGAATATTAATTTTCCTCTCCTTAATTATTCTAGTAGTTTTCTTATTTTAATAACTGATGAATTTATTTTTGAACTTTTATAGTATTGTAGGCAATGTCTTGTAGTTACTGTGGGCCCAAAGGGTGTTTACATCAAGCTGCATACCAGGGGTTGGACACATTTTTTAGCCACTAGAATTATAAGGTATTGAATCTCTTCAAGCATTGATTAAGGGAGTCTGTCTGTTTAGCAGTTACTTACTTTGGTTTAGCTAATGCTAGCATATTTTGAATATTGGAATATACATTTAAGTAGATAAATTTTCCAAGGGAATTTTAGCCTACTTCATAATCAAAATGAACTTGGCTGTTTTTTCTTAATATTCTTTCTTTTTTGTTTGATGAAAGATTGAGCTATGGAGAATGAAGTTGAAGTGAGTTTTAAGATATACTACTCTATTAAATAATGGCATTTTTATAGTTCTCTTCCTTTAGAAAACTCCTTAATAAGGTCTTTCAAGTGGTTTTTTCATTATAAAAAGGGCCAAAATTATATTTAACATAAGTTCTGGAGATTTAATATATAGTGCGGTGTGTATAGTTAAAAAAAATAATACATTGTACGCTGGAGAATTGCAAATAAAACCCCAACAATTGAACTTAGTAGTATATGTATCAAAAGGGGGATACACATATACTGTGTGGCATTGTAATGCTTTGAATTATATTGACATTTGAATTACTTCTTAAGTGAGGAGGTATTTGGTAATTTATTTGGTTTCCTTTTTGTGTTCATCAAATTATAGATATTATTATGTTTTACAGATTGACTTTTTACCCCTTTTGTTTTCTTCCAAACTACTTACTGTGTAGCATATTGAATCAACTTCCCTAAGACATTAATTCAGCAAACTAGAATTTTAAATCAAAACTTCTCTTCTTCTTCCATCTCTGTGTTCTTGACTCATTAAAAATATTAACAAAAATTCTAAATATGTTTAAAAAGTAAAAACAAAGAACTCCTTTGCCCTCATCCCAACATCATCCTTTTTCCTTTCCATATCTAAGAATCATTAACAGTTTTTTCTATTTGCTTCCAGAAACATTTTTGTGTACACCATATACCGATATCTAGATATTTTTAAAAATTGTTTGACAAGTGGAATTGTTATACACACTTGTGCACCTTTTAAAAAGTATTTGTTTGAAATTTTAAAATTATATGCCAAATCCCCCCGTCCTTTTTTTGTTGGGGTGGGTCGACAGATTTTCACTCTGTCATGTAGGTTGGAGTACAGTGGTGGGATCATAGCTCACTGACTGCAGCCTTGAACTCCAGGGCACAAGCAGTCCTCCTGCCTCAGTCTCCTGAGTAGCTGGGATTACAGGCAGGTGCTACCATGCTTGGCTAACTTTTGTTTGTTTGAGACAGAGTTTCACTCTTGGTGCCCAGGCTGGAATGCAGCAGTGCAATCTCAGCTCATCGCAACCTCTGCCTTCCAGGTTCAAGCAATTCTTCTGCTTCCGTCTTCCAAGTAGTTGGGATTACGGGCATGTGCCACCACGCCTGGCTAATTTTGTATTTCTAGTAGAGACAGGGTTTTACCATGTTGGCTTGGCCAGGCTGGCTTCGAACTCCTGATCCACCCACATCGGCCTTGCAAAGTGCTGGGGTTACAGGTGTGAGCCACCATGTCCGGCCTTAGCTAACTTTTAAATGTTTTTCAAGAATAGAGTCTTCCCATGTTGCCCAGACTGGTCTCCAATTCTTGGCCTCAAGCAGTCCTCCTGCCTTGGCCTCCAGAGAATTGGGATGATAGGCGTGAGCCACAGCATTCAGCCCCCAAATCCTTTTTAATGGCTTCTCAGTATTCTGGAATATGGAAATTTCATAATTTAATTATTTTACTGATGAACATTTGGGGGCATTCATCCCCCAAATCCGTTTTAATGGCTTCTCAGTATTTTAGAATATGGAAGTTTCATAATTTAATCATTTTACTGATGAACATTAGGGTTGGTTCATTTTAGATTAATTATTTAGGTGAGAGCATCTATAGAATTTAAAATGCCAATGTTAGTATGTCATCTGAAGTGACAGGGAAAGGAAAATAGATATTTCTTATATGTGCAAACTCTTAAAATGAACAAATGTGTGTAGCCTTGGCATATGTATTTTTTACTGCCAATAGGCAATTGAATAGTATTTTTTTATTTTTGCTTTCCAATTATAAACAGAACTAACTTTGTTTTGCTATTGCTTATAATTAGGACCTTTCTAAAAATATGATTCATTTTTTTAATAAATTGGTTTGAGGACTTTTTATATGATAGGTAATTTTTTGATGGGGGATGGGACATTAGAGTGTCTTATAAGTTTTATTTATACTTCCCATAGGGATTAGGAGCAGACAGCAAGAACCTGTACCCTTTCCTGCTCCCAGTTATTCAACTGAGTACAGATGTTTCTCAGCCTCCACATGTTTATCTTCTGGAAGATGGTTTAGAATTATGGTAAGAGGAAAAACTTAACACCATGGATCTTATTTTATTCGTGACCTTTCCTACTCTCATGCCAGTAAAGTTAAGGTCATGTAATAAGGCTTTAAAAACAAAAATGTAAACTCTGTTTCTTCAAACTGGGCATATATCTCCTTTTTTTGGGCAGCTGTCACTCAGTGTAGGATTACAGTTAAAGGGGGACTTTTCAACAGGAACTCAGCTGCATTTCATCTTTTGAAATTTGTCATGTAATGGGTTCATGGTAACTTTTCCAAAAAGTTCCTGACTTACAATCTCTAATCTGTTAAATGAGATTTTTGGGGGATATTGAGGTCCTGTTACTACTTAACCAACCATTGAGATATTATACCTCAGCCCCAAATGGTAAAGCTACTTATAGTCTTACTTATTGTTTTACTGAGTAAATTAATAGTATGCAGTATTAAGAGGTTTAAAAAAAAAATGCCGTGCTTCTGTGGCAGCTCAGTGCTACAGAGGCTTATCGACTGCCCACGGTGTGTAAACAGCTGTGCTAGAAAATTCTTTTGCTTTATTAAGCTCACTTTGCTGTTGGCAACAGTTTTATCCAGAGACAGTCTTTCAATAATACATGAAAAGCTTCAAAATCCCATTATATAAATTGATAATGCAGTTAAAGAAAGCAAATCATAGAAATCAACCATAAAAGAAATGAACATTTGTTTCTCTTCTTCCCTCCCTCTCTTCCTTTGGAACTTCCTTCCTTCCTTCCCTTGTTTTTTATAGATGTCTAGAATTTAACAGTTTTGGTTCTTGGAAATTACCTTTGGTGCAAATTGTAATAATGATCTCTATCAGGATATGAGCTGAATGACTTTAAAGCTTAACTAGGTGGATACTTACTAATTTGCGGTTTGTGTTCCTCAGAAAGGTGTTGTTCAAACTTAAATGGCATCTATATGGTTCAGTTGTAAATTAGCCTGTTGAAATATTTTATATTCAAACATTTCTATTTGTATAAGGATAGATTACTTTAAATCAGAGGTTGGCAAACTTGTACTGTAAAGAACCAGACATTAAATATTTTAGGCTTTCTAAGTCACACAATCTTTGTTGCAGCTATTCAACTCTGCTGTCAATTTCAAAACAATCATAGACAATACGTTAACAAGTAGGTATGGCTATGTGCCAATTAAGCATCATTTATAGAAATAAGTACCTGGGTGAATTTAGCCCATGAGCTGTAGTTTGCCCACCTCTGCTCTAAAGTATAAGGTAAAATATTAATTCCTGACATCTAAATAATTTTTTCTAAACATGCAGCTACTATATGATGTTGAATGTTAGAAAAAAAATCTAAATATGTTAGAGATTAGACTCAGATTTACTAGTATTACCAACAATATATTAATGTGTTTATTAAAGATATATATATTTTCAAGGGATTACATTAAAAAGTAATAAAAATGTACTGTTTTGTTAATGGTAATTTTTTTCCTAGCCTTTATTTACATGCTAATGAAAATAAATTATTAGGACAATTTTAAAAAATTACCTAATTTGTTGAGTTTCTCTAAAGAATCAGAGTACATATTCATGAATTTTTCTTAATGGGTTAGAGTTTATATTTGAAATCAGGCAAACATAGGCTCCAATCCCATTTATACTACATTATATATGTAATTTGAAAAAGTTAATCATCCTTGGTGAACCACAGTTTCCTTATCTGTAAAATGAAGAATAATTCCTACCCTTACATGGTTGTTGTGAAGACGAGATGTTTGCTGAAGTGGTTGACACTTTGGATATGGCATTCAATGCCTGAGAATATATGATTGCCTAGGAAGAGAAGGACAGATAGAGAACATTCTGCCCAGGGCAGAATTCTAATACACTTGCAACATTTTGAGGACCTGAAGAGCCGTTTACAAAGACAGAGAAGAGCTATGTACTTAGATAGTAGGAAAACCAAGCCAAGAGAGGAGAATATTTCCTAAAAGAGGGGAGAGTGGTCAACTTTGTCAAATGTTGCTGATTTTCCTTATAAGATTAGTATAGAAATGTGAATTTGGCCACATGAAGGCGATAGGAGGATTTTCACTGGAGTGGTAAGAACAGAAATTAGAATTGGAGTAGTCTGAAGAGTGAATTGAAGCTAAGTCCATACAGAGTATACACACTGATAACTTGTTTGAGAGACTTTACTATTAAGAGGAGTACAGAAGTGGGGCAACAGCTGAGTAGTATGGGAAATGTAAGATCTAGAGGAATGGGTCAGGCTGGATTGAGAGAGTGGGATAAGTGAAGGAGGCAAAAAGGGGTGGGATTGAGAGCTTAGGTGGAGGGATTGAATTTTGGTAGCAGCTGGAATACTTCATCTGTTTTAACTGGAGGCCCAAGGCAGTTTTTCAAATTTGATAATGGGATGAGATAGGAAGGTGTTCATCCAACAGCTTCTGTTTTCTTAACAAAATATGAAGCATCACCTTTAGTGAGGAGTAATGGGCTGAATTAGGAGTATATACAAGGTAGAGGTCTGTAGGTGAGAGAAGGTATAAAGTAGTTATGTTAAAGAATGGGAATTTGAATTTATTAGGGATAGATCCAGTACCAGTTGATGTTTCAGGTCACGAATATAGAGTGAAACTCTTAGACCGATTATGTGATTTATCTCCCACCATGGCTTTTTATTTTCCTGTTGATCCATCTACCTAGAGTTTTGTCAGTTACTAGTCTTCAAAAACAACCTTTGGCTTTGGTTCTTTTTGTTCATATTTGTTTCCTATTAATATCTGCTCTTATGTTTTATTATCTCATTCTACTTGCTTTAGGTTTATGGGTTTGTTGTCATTTGATTTCCATTCTAACAAAATTAGTTCATCAACTTTTAGCCTTCTATCTTAATATAAACATTTAATGCAATAAATTTTTTAACCAGAGTTAGAGCAAAAGACCTTGTATAAACAGTTTTTTATTTTTAAGAAAATTGGATGGGATAGTAATGAATACTGGTAAGCAGTCAGCAGTATCAGCCATATCTCATTAAAAGCAGTATGATCATTGAAAAAAAATGAATTTGATTGCTTTTTGCCATCTACTCAAAAGATTGTATCTTTCTCTTCAGAAAGAAAACCCTTCTCTTAAAAGAACCTTGACTTCCTAGGATAAACTTTACTTGGTGGTGAATTACACTACTAATGAATATTATAAACATTTTTCTAATATTTTATCTAATTTTATTTCTTCCTCTATTAATGAGTTGGCTCTATGATCTACATTTTGTGATTCTTTTTGATTTTATATCAGTGCTATATTTGTTTAACAATTTAAAAATTGTTTTTATTGTACTGGAATGATTTTTTTGATATGTATCAATCTATTCTTTGTACGTTTGAACAATTCATTAATAAAAGGAACTGGAAATAGACCAGTCGTCGAGGCCAGGGTTTCTTTACAGTTTTGATAACATCATCAGGTTATTCCTCAGGTTTTAGTTTTTAAAGCCAATGTTAGATTTTGAATAGGCTTTTCCCTCCTTTTCTCGCTGCTCTTTTGACAATCATAGTTTTTCTCCTTGTTTCGAGGGTTGGGCCAACCACACACTTCTGTGATAACCCACCGTGGATATGCATTATGTCATGGATTGTGGTCAGATGGGTTTGTAATTGGCCTTTGTTGTATTAAAGCTTTCATGTATATGTATTATATTATGGATTGTTGCATACTGCTAATGCAGTCAGATTGGCTTGTAATTGGCCTTTGTTCTACTAAGTTCATATTTATTCAGCATTTAGCATAAGTTGTTTTACTAATTTATTAGCCTAGTTTCGCTTTAAAGGACATATCAATTACATGTGGCAGAGGATCATATCAAGAAAATCAGAACAACAAAATAACTTTTTTATGTCCTTGACCAATTCGTAATAGTTACACTTTTGATTTATTGTTATAATTTCATTATTATAGATACTTTAGTATATACAGTCGAGTCTTTCTATCAACAGGCGATTGGTTCCAGGACTACCACGTATACCAAAATCCGTGCATACTAAAGTCCCGTAGTCAGTCCTGTGGAACCTGTGTGTATGTATATGTGAAAAGCCAACCCTCCGTAAACTTGGGTTTGCATCCCGTGAATACTGCTCTTTTAATCTTACATTTGGTTGAAAAAGTCTGGGTATAAGTAGACCCACGCAGTTTAAAGCCATGTTTTGCAAGGCTCAACTGTAGTTACTTTCCACTACCTTTGCTATTTATATAGAAATACTACATAATCTGTAGACAGGTTTTTATTTTAAGGTATTTGGTTAATTCTTTCTTAGATAATTTTTATAACTTACTGATTATCCATATATCTTTCTCATTTAAATGGGACCTTTTTAATATTTAAGTCATTATGTTAATGGCTTTACATGGGCATGGAAAGTGATTTAATCACCTGTTTTTCCTTCCTAGGTTAGTAACTTTGGAAAACAGCCCATGTGTTACACCGGAGTTGCTTCGTATATTTCAGAATATGTCACCACTTCTTGGTATGTGTTAGAGCATAAACTTACTAATGATTTTTTAAAGCAGCCATAATTTGGAGGCACTGAAACAAATATTATTGTATTTTTTTTTTAGTTCAACTTTTAGTTAAGATTCAGGGACTATATGTACAAGTTTGTTACATGGATATATTGTGTGATGTTGAGGTTTGGGGCACAAGTGATCCTGTCATCCAGGTAGTGATCATAGTACCTAACAGTTTTTCAACCTTTGAGTTCCTCCCTCTGCTTTCTAGTAGGCGGAAGTATCTGTTTTTGCCATGATTATGTCCATGAGTACTCAATGTTTAGAACATACATACATTCCATTTTGATTTAATCCCTGATATTGACAAGTAAGTCAATTGGTGTTTTTTGTTTGTTTTATTAATTAATTAATTTATTATTATTATTTTTTTAATTTTCCCCCTTTTAATGACTTTCTTTTAACAGCATGTTTGTTTTGTTTTGAGACAAGGTCTTGCCCTGTTGCCCAGGCTGGAGTGCAGTGGCATAATCATAGTTTACTGCAGCTTCGAGCTCCTGGGCTCAAGCAGTCTTCCCATCTCACCCTCCTGAGTAGCTAGAGCCACAGGCACACATCACTACATCCAGCTAATTTTTAAAACATTTTTGTAGAGGTGATGTCTTACTATGTTACCCAGGCTGTTCTCAAACTCCTGGGCTCAAGTGATCTTCCCACCTTGGCCTCACAAAGCTCCAGGATTGCAGGTGTGAGCCACCATGTCCTGCTGATGTTTTGATGGTCTTAGATTTTGCTGTAAACTTTTTAGAATCATTTCTGCTTATTAAAAGTGAACACTAAATTATATCACTGTGAAACATTTTTTAATACCAATATGTTCTTAGGAAACAATTTACAAATTGAGCTTGAACTTTGCCTGGTAAGTTTCCTACATTTGATAGTAGTTCCGTTAGCTATTTAGAAGACTATATTGTAAAACTGCTGCTATATACTGTGTTTTTAATCTAGCTTATTTTAAAATGGATTTTGCCTTATCAGTTGATCACAAAAGCTCTTTGTACAGATTTCTCTCTTTTAACTAAGGAACTACCCAAAGAGTCTTAAGTATCAGGAAATTATATTGTTTGTTGAAATATTGCTTATGAATGAGCTTTGAAGTCATGAAGCCTCATATTTTTTAAGCAACACTTTTGGTACATGAAACCAAAGAACTGGGTACCCTGCTATGAGTGGGCTAATCTCTTTTGTAGCCTTTTTGAATGAGATCTAATTAGATTCATTTTCTAATCTGAATGTGTATTTCGATGATAATTAATTAAAAAAATCACTACTTTTCTGTTATATATTAGCTACCATTCTCAAATATGTATCAGTGTAAAAATTGATAAATAATATTTTGTTTATAGGTTGTTTTGTGTGGGTGTTTACCAGGGTAGGTTCAGACTTAAACACATATTTCAGAATTGTATATAGTCTGTTTACTAGCCCTTTCATTCTGTTTCAGTCTGTAAAATATTTCCCTTGTTTTGATTATTTAGAAACTGTATTATAAATGTTATGTATGTTTTTTTCCATTCATGGATCCTCAATGAAGCATTTTTAATTCCTTCATTTGAACTTTGGGTATACTAACCGAATAGTTTCAATATTGTCATGAGAGGGCATTTAGCTAGGAAAATACTAGGAAGAAAGGCATCATTATTATGGCAATGTCTGCAGGTTTTTATTTATTTATTTATTTATTTGTTTGTTTGTTTATTTTTGTTGTTGTTGTGGGGGAGGTCTAAGAACTTATTTGTGCTGAGAATTTTTTTTGTTTGTTTTGGATGAAGTCTAGCTTTGTCACCCAGGCTGGAGTGCAGTGGTGCGACCTTGATCTTGGCTTATTGCAACCTTTGCCTCCTGGGTTCAAACAGTTCTCCTGCCTCAGCCTCCTGAGTAGCTAAGATTACAGGTGTGCAACACCACACCTGGCACACCTGGGTAATTTTTATATTTTTAGTAAAGATGGAGTTTCACCATGTTGGCCAGGCTGGTCTCACACTCCTCACCTCGTGATGTAATCACCTTGGTCTCCCAAAGTGCTGGGATTATCAGAGGCAAAAATGTCCCTGACGTATAATGAATGACACACTGGAAAAATAGACTTACTCTTTGAAAAACCAGCAAATCTGGACTAAAATGATTATAACTGGTTAAAAAATCATTTTCTCTTTTTATTTGTTGGATGACCATGGTGGCTAAATAATGTGATTAGTTCTTAACATTTTCTCTGAAATTTTTTGTTCCTCTTCTCAAATAGTAACCAGTTGTTTTCTAGTAAAGAACCATTTGCTCTTTGTTATCTAGAGTCCCCATAAAAGGAAAAACTTACCAAAGATGAAGTCAGTGGCAATAGGTGTTGACCTACTAGGAAAAATTTTATCTTTCAGTCATGATAGAGAAAGAAAATAGGGTTCTTTGGTGAAGGTCTTTTTAGTTGTGTTCTACCTAACTTACTATACTATGCCCACTTTTTTTTTTTTAAGATGGAGTCTCACACTGTTGCCCAGGCTGGAGTTCAATGGTGCAATCTTGTCTCGCTGCAACCTCTACCTCCTGGGTTCAAGAGATTCTCCTACCTCAGCCTCCAAGTAGTTGGGATTACAGGCGCCTGCTACCAAGCCCAGCTAATTGTTTTTTTTTTTTGTAGTTTTAGTAGAGATGGGATTTCACTATGTTGGCCTGGCTGGTCATGAACTCCTGACCTCGTGATCCACTCACCTTGGCCTCCCAAAGTGCTGGGATTACCAGCATGAGCCACTGTGCCAGGCCCATACCCTGCCGTTTTATAAAGAAGCAATTGACAGGCTTCTTTATGTTTGACCTAGGATTAGACACCTCAACCAGACCTTTTACCAACTTTGTCATGACAACATTCAGCTACTTTCACATATGTGTGATTTCACACACTGGTCTCATTTCACCCTGTTTTCCACCTCAAATTCAGCATGCTTGGTCTCCATAATGTTTAGTTCCCTTAGAGTGGTGGGAGAGGGATTGGTAACGAAGAAGAGATTTAAATAGAAAACATGTGACTTACTTTACTATAACTGTATAGCACGATATTTAGCAGAGTTTTAGGTAAGCGGCCTAGCTTCGTTGTTTTTTTTTTTTTTTTTTTTGGTGGGGACAGAGTCTTGCTCTGTCACTCAGGCTGGAATGCAGTAGCATGATCTCAGCTCACTGCAACCTCTGCTTCCCAGGTTCAAGCAGTTCTCCTGCCTCAGCCTCCCAAGTAGCTTGAATTATAGGCATGTACCACCATGCCCAGCTAATTTTTTATTTTTAGTAGAAATGGGGTTTCACCATGTTGCCCAGGCCGCTGTTGAACTCCTGGCCTCATGTGATTTGCCCACCTCTCAGGCTTGAGCCACTGTGTCCACCCTCTAGTGTAGTTTTAACAATATAAAGCTTTGTAATATTTCTAACCAAATCAATTAGGACTTTTATGTGTTTGGAATAATGCCTGGCACATAGTAAGTATTATCTTAATGTTTTGCTGGTATGTTAGTGCTATTACTATCACTATTAACATTACTCCTATTTTAAAATTATCCTGCCATTGACTGGCTCTCAGGATTTATTATTTACTGAGTGAAGAACTAATGAAATTGCAGCTTTTTGATATTACATATTTAATTCAAACTTTTTTAATTTTTAAAGGCTTAAAAAATTCTGGCTGGGCATAGTGGCTCACACCTATAATTCTACCACTTAGAGGGGCTAAGGAGGGCATATCAGGAGGTCAGGAGTTCAAGACCAGCCTGGCTAATATGGCAAAACCCTGCCTCTGCTAAAAATGCAAAAATTAGCTAGGTGTGGTGGTGCACACCTCTAGCCCCAGCTATTCGGAAAGCTGAGGCAGAAGAATCACTTGAACCTGGGAAGCGGAGGTTGCAGTGAGCCGAGATTGTGCCACTGCACTCCAGCCTGGGCAACAAAGTGAGATTCCATCTCAAAAAAAAAAAAAAAAAGAAAAAAAAGATTAAAAAAATTCTATTTTATAAAGTTTTGATGAATATAGGTGATGTGGATGCTATTGAATTATTTGTTTTCTACTTTTATCATTCAAAAAAATGGTAAACATAATTTGTTTTATGCATTGTGGTGGTGTATTTACATCAATAATGAAGACATTCTATTTACAAATTACATTTGTTTATGTTTATTAGTACATCTTGACATCAGTATTACCTTTATTTTTGTTTGAGTATAGCACTGATAATTGTTTGACATACAGCTTTTTGCATGTACATTCTTTCAGACAAGTTTTAAAATTTATTTTTAAATACAACCAGAATATTTATTTTAATCTTTTAAGAGTATAAACCAAAATGAATATGGTTTTTGTATCAGTTAAATTCTCTTATTAGAACAATGCTTTTAAACTATCTATTTAATGAATATGATTGCAATTATATTTTTCTAAGCAGAAATTAAGCCACTGGGCTAGCTTCAGTGGCTCATGCCTGTAATCAGGTAAATTTCTTGAGGGTGGGAGTTCAAGACCAACCTGGGTAACATAGCAAGACCCCATGTCTACAAGAAATAAAAGATAGCTGGCCTTGGTGGGCTGTGCTTGTGGTTCTAGCTGCTCAGGAGGCTGAAGTAAGAGGATCAAGGCTGTAGTGGCTGCAGTGAGCTGTTATTGTACTGTTCCATTTAAGCTTGAGCAACACAGTGAGAACCTTTCTCTTTAAAAAGTAAAAATAAAAGAAAGAAAGCCACTGGCAGAAAGTTTCCTGCTTTAAAATATATAAAGCCAACATTATAGAACACTTTAAGATATTTAAGTTAATGGTTTTTAGGATGCATTAATTACGTATGAATATATTCAAGGCCAAGATTCATTTTATATCCTTTTCCCTAAATGTAAATAGAATCTGAGAAATTTTAAGTAGAACCAGAGGCTATAACTGGAAGTAATTCTATTAATTTAGTTCTAATAGCTTTTTTTCTTTAAATCTATGTTATGGTGTTAATTTACTTAATATTCTCCTTACTTAAAAGATCAGCATGTGACTGGCTCTTGTCCTAGTTACTGTGAATGGAACTAATGTTCCTTTAACTGTAAAATTTTTCAGCTGGTAACTTTCTAACAGATTTGGAAAGGATGAAGTAGATTTCTCTCGATTCTTTATAATATAATTTAATAATTCACTTCTTGTCCTCACAGAAATTTTAAGGAATATATAAAATGTAAAATAAAAATTAAAAATAGGAGCAAAAGTATAAATAAAAGCAAGTAGGAGTAGATTATAAAATAAAATCACACTAAATATATGAATCATATTTGAACAGTGTGTAACTAAATACATTGATGGATTATATGCAGGTTTACCTTAGAGCTCTGTAGCAGTCTATGAAAAGAAAAACCTAGTCACTTAAATCATGGATATTCAGTCTTGGCTCTCTTGTCATTTGGGTCAAGGTAATTCTTTGTTGTGGGGGACTTCCCTTTGCATTGAAGGATGTTTAATAGTATCCCCACCTCCTACCTACTGGATGTTAGCAATGACAAAAATGTTTCTAGACATTCCCAAATGTCCTGCAGTGGACAAAATTGCCCCTGACTGAGAACCTTAGACATAAATTACTCAATATCTGAAAATAAATACATACCTATTGCATGATTGCAAGAAGTCAATCATGCAATAGATAGGTGTTTACTTTCAGATACTGAGTAATTTCAGATAATGAAAAATGACTGTCAAGGCCTAGTAACTTCCTGGTATTAGGCCTAGACAGTCATTTTTCTTTAGAGTCTCACTAGGAACTTATGGATGTAGTGAACACTGTTCAGCACTGTTAAATAGATAAATTTGTTAAATTTAGGGCTATGTGTAATATCAATATTTAGTGTTTGCTGATGATAACATGCCCAAGAAAATTTTGTCAGTGCCATCCTGGGCATGTTAGAGGCATGGAAAGCAGTGGGAAGTGACCTAATTTGTATAGAATGGTCCAGGAATAGTTTTTAAATATCTGTAGGAAGATACGGGCTTTTTCTTTTTATATCAATTCTTCTTAAATGTTGTTTTTTTTTTTTTTCCCTTAACATTGATTTTGATAAAATTATACTTGGCAATGATTTCAAAATTATGTTCTCTGATATGCCTGGAATGAAGCCATTCTCAGTTCTCTCTTAAATATAGACCCTTTGCCTTACTTTTCATGGCAATCGCCAAACAGTCTGCTGTTCATTGTTGATCTACAAAAAAGTGTGCACAAGTCCAGGCTTTCTCCTTGAGAAGAAAAGGATAATGTGAATTTTTCATAATGATAGCTTTAATCTAATACAAAAGCCCCCTTTATCCTGAGATTTTATCTTTTATCGTTAAAAGATGCTTAGATGACAGCTTTTTAAAAAATGTTTTTTAGATTAGTAACTAGTAATAAGTTGACTATTTCCTGTCTTCTTCCTATCCTCATTTTTTAAAACTGTCAAATCCTAAATTTTAGGAACTAATGCCTTCAAAGACATTTTGAGGTAGGTTGGATTGTCATTCTTTTGTGAAAATAAATGGAAAATTTACATATGAATATGTCTTCTTTCTTTTATTTAGAAATGACAGATAAGAACACAGGGGCTAATCTTTTGCCAGAAATTAAGAAAAAACAATCTGTCCTATTGTGAGTGAATATAATTTCCAAAATACTTGTAACAAAGAATGGCAGGCTTTAGGCATCGACGTTATATTGGGAGTCATATTTTAATCTGTATATTTTTATACATGGAGCCTGTATCCTTTTGTATTATTATTTTATTTAGTGAGACACATAAAATAGCACTGTGTCAACTTTTGATCATATTCAGTTTTAACAAATAGTTTCTACTCTTCACTTGCAAAGGAATAGCTAAAAACGATACCATTTTCTGATGTTACTCTGGTAATTAAATGTTAAGAACATTTGTTATGTGTGGTGTTTTATAGGGAACCAGATTTGAAGAACAAAATGGAAAGATTGAATCTATCTTAACCTAATATAATTTTTTTGGAGTGTCATCAGGAGTCTGTTGAGAAGTCATATTGCATATTTAGTGCAAGTGCAGTAACACTCAGTAAATGTTCATCAAGTGAACCCATTTAAGCAAATGTCAAAATATGATGGTGAAATGATTCAGCTTCATGTAGTTTGTCATGATAGCCGTAAAAATTCATTTTGAAATGAAATGTTGGGTCGAATGATTAGGCAGTTTTTTTCTGAAAAGAAAAAATATGGAGAGCATGGCTTTTTTTTCCTGAATGTTTCAACTAGTGAAAAGCAAATGAGGTAGCATTAAGTTTTGGGTTGTTACCAGTATTTGTTCATTTGTTCATTCATTCAGTCACTCATTCATTAATTCACTGAGACAGGGTCTCACTCTTTTGCTCAGCCTGGAGTGCAGTGGCATGATCATTGCTGACTGTAACCTTTTAAATCCTAGTGATGCCAGTTTTTAGATAGATATCTATAGATACTAGTAGTCTGAATAGTGCTGAGGTTTGTAGAGTATGTAAATTAGTTTTAAATAACAATGAATCACTTCATTTAAACTAATTTTGAGCAGCGAATTAATTTGTTATTTTTTCTTTGTTTGACATTTATTGTTTTTGGCAGAACTAAGTTCAGAAAATCTCAGAACTTGCTTTAAGATCATCAATGGTTATATCTTTTTATCATCAACAGAATTTTTACAGGTATGTTGTAGTTTTGTATTATATGAAATTATATAATTACTATTTTGATTATTTCTTACTCGAAATCAGGGAGTGCCTCTTCAGAATTTTAAGATTGGTCTATTACTTTAAGGCGAAGAAACATTGGCTGAGCATTTTCCGCTGAAGGGCAGATGTGCTGCTTGCAGTTCATTTCTTATTTAATGCAGAAAATGTGCCATGTCAGCAAATATATTTTTATATTCCTATAAAAATTAATGTATCAATAATCTATATTTTTATTCGGCATAATCTTTTTTCTTTAACTTTTTCTAAGAGTTCTAATTGAAATTTGATATGCTTAGACATTTAGCGTATACTTCTCAAATAGATTATAATGAGTCCCAAATGAAATTTTACAGCGTTTTGATATTACAGATGTTCTTACGTATGTATTGACTTTTAATTGAATTTCAGACATATGCAGTAGGTCTATGCCAGTCCTTTTGTGAACTTTTAAAGGAGATTACCACAGAAGGTCAAGTTCAAGTGCTGAAGGTATTGTAATCATTTTAAGTGAATATATGAGTTTTTCTTTATATTTTATGAAGTTGGACTTTCATTTGGGTATGGATGGTTCACAAGAAGGAGAAGAGCTGATACAGTTCCAGACGGGCTATTTTAGCAGTTTTCAGTTGGTTTAATACCTACGGACCAGAGATCTCAAATCTTGAAGGTGCATACACCTTCAGCAAGCAACAGATCACCTGGACATCTTATTAAAATTCAATTCTGGATTTCTCACAAGGTCTGAACTGATTGGGATGTTGCCTATCTTGAGACCTTACTTTGTGTAGTAAGGATTTTAACTCTTGTAAATTATCCAGTGGTGTGGTGTCTGATACTTCTCACTCTTTCATTTTCACTTTATAATTTGGTAATTTTAATTTGATTTGGCTATCAAAATTTGAGTACCATGTTTGTTGAGATTGTGTAATTAAGAACCAACAGGCTCTAAGTTGTATATTATCTTTATATATTATGTCTGTATATTAAAGATACAAATAGTATTAAGTGTATATTTACATATAAACAAATGTATATATAAATATATTAAAATATCTTTATGTATGGATTTTGAGAGAAGGCGTTGCTATTAAAAGTACCCCTATTTTTGATGTCGAGTTTCTCAGCTATGTTCCAAGATACGAGAGCTGAATTTCTATCATAACAAAATAGCATTATGGTGTGAAAATCATGGCATTGCTTTAGAACCTAAAAATGATCTCACTTCCTCCCAGTGAAATGAAAGAGGTTACCCAAATAGGTTTGCTATAAGAAGTGTACTGAAGTAATCCAAAGTATACTCTAGGATCTAAGTTGGTAAAAGTTTGTGCGGATAATGAAGTCTTATTTCATCGTAACTGATATGGTTAGGCTTTGGGTCCACCCGGATCACCCCATGATCACCCCATGATCATCCCATGATCAAGGGGATTGTGGGGATGACTGTCTCCCAAATCAAGGGAATCATGGGGGTGGTTTTCCCCATGCTGTTCTCATGATAGTGAGTGAGTTCTCAAGAGATCTGATGGTTTCATGAGGGCCTCCTTCCCCTTTGGTTGGCACTGCTTCTTCCTGCCACCCTGTGAAGAAGCTGCCTTGCTTCTCTTTCACCTTCTGCGTTGATTGTCAGTTTCCTGGAGGCCTTCCCAGCTGTGCTGAACTGTGACTTAATTAAACCTCTTCTCTTTATAAATTACCCAGTCTCAGGCAGTTCTTTATAGCAGTATGAAAATGGATTCTTTGTTCTGCTTTATTCTTTTGTTACTTTAGCCTTTTACGATAACCAATAAGATACCATCTAGATTTGTGTAAGTACACTCTATGATGTTTGCACAACAGTGAAATCACCTAATGACACATTTCTCAGAACATATTCCTGTTGATAAGTGGCACATGACTGTGTATTTATTTGCTGTCGCAACTCTGCTAGCATGAATCAGGCTAATACAGTGTTAAGTACTGCAGAGAAGTGAACAAGAATAAGGAGAGAGAAAATACTCTTAGGATTGTCTATTGAGCAAGAGGGTTTAAAACCAAAATTTAAAACATATTTAGTGTCTATAAATGAGAAGGGTCATATGCCAGATTACTGAAGTATTAAATTATAGATTGATGAGAAAAGGAAGGAGCTTAAGGAGATCAGTAAGGACCGTATTGGTTTCCTAGGGATGCTGTAACAAAATACCACAACCTTGGTGGCGTAAAACAAAAGTTTATTTATAATATTGATATTCATTATATAATTAGAAAATCGGTGTTTGCAGGGCCATGCTATTTCTGAAGGGGCTAAGGGGGAGAATCTGTTCCAAGCCCTTCTCTTACCTTCTGGTGATTGCAGGCAGTCTTTCGAATTCCTTGACTTGTAGATACGTAATCCTGTTATCTGTGCTTCCGCTGTCACCTGATGTTCTCCTGGTATGTGTCTGTGTCTCTGTTTTGTTTTTGTTGTTGCAAGGACAAAAGCCATAGTTGATTAAGGGCATTCTCTAGTATCTTCATCTTACCTTGATTACATCTAGGATATGGGAGAACTCTTTGGCTTTAATTTTGTAGTTTCTTTGTTTCTTTTTTAGAGCAAGGGGTTTACTAAATGCTGAGAATATAAGCCACTGTTACCAAAGAATCATGTGGGCACTAAAGGATTTGTAATAACAGGAATCTGTGCATGTGACTTGTTGAGACCCTGGATACTTGAGGCCTGGTCTATTGCATTAGTCTTTTAATCCTCATTCATTATTAATTTCAAAGTGTTCTCCTAGCCCCAAAGCTTACAGGTAACATCAAACATGTTGCTTACTAAAATGCTTTTATGCGTTTTATAGGCATAATTGCATTTATGCCTTTACTAAGCTGACAGAGTGGCAAATAAGTATATTAAGGAACTTTATCAGTTTTACACAATCTCAACTTCAGCTTTTGCTTTGGTGATAAATTCTTCTCTGGAAGTAAGAGGAAATAAGGAATTGACACATTGGACTTAATTCTGACTATTTGAGGAAAAAGTGATTGGCATCCTGGGAGTGATTAAAACAAGTGAAAATTGCCATGTCATTTTGATACTATTGTCTCCACAGATTTTTTTCTGTATGTATGCCTGTTTTAACCTTTCTCCTCTATTAGACTGACCTTCTCCATTATCCAAAGTTCAGTAAATGTGGGCTCTGTTAGCTCTGAATACATACGTAGTAAGTGACTTGAAAGGCAAGGAATCCATAATTTTTATGTTGAAGCTGTGCCTCCAATAGAAATGCCATCTCATGTATACTGAGGATTCATTTGGAATTCTCTCCTTGACCATCCGCTTGGTTTGCATATGCTGCCCTGCTACTTTTATGGCTCTTGAGTATACTCTGGCCTTCATTTTCCTCATTTATTAAATGATTTTTATTCTGTACCTATGCAGTACCTGAAATTCTCCATGTTAAGTTATAATCTGTATATTCTAAGTGATTAAGAAAAGGTGATTTCTCACATTTAAACACCTTCCAGTCCAAATTTGAATTGACATCACCCCCACACACTCTTTTGGCTTTTCTGCAACAATATTATTAAATTAATTGTTGAAAGACAACTTGTGGATTATCTGGAATGGCCATTGTGATTCTACTTGTTTTTAATTATACTCTTAAAAATTATTAGAGAGAGCATAGCATAGCAGATAAGACTACACACTGAAGGGAGATCCCCAGGGTTAGAACATTGGCTCTGGTACTTCACAGTTACGTGATGTGGACAAATTACTCTTTGTTCCTCATTTTCCATCTGTAACATGGGGATGATAACTTTACCTACTTCCTAGGTTTGATGTGAGGAATACTTGAGCTTATATGTATAAACAGTTATAACAATGCCTAGCATGTAATAAGTGAATATAAGCATTGACTGTTTTTATCTAATATAATTATATAGCCGTCTTTTGAGAGACTAAATATTTAGTCTCTCTTTGGGGTGAAATAGGCTACTTCAATTATAGGCAAAATAATTTGTTTGCTAAGATCTTCAGCTCTAGAGAAACCAAGTTGTTCTACTTTATCCTTTTACGATTTCTTCAAAATAAATACTTAAGTACATTAATAAAATTTGCTTTTAAAACTAAGCAGGTCGTTTACACAGTAATGGTATATTATTAGCAAGAACTGCATATCTCAGCTCGCTCTTTAAAATTATTAATAATTGTATTTTGACCAGGCGTGGTGGCTCACACCTATAATCCCAACACTTTGGGAGGCTGAGGCAGGCAAACCACTTGACCTCAGGAGTTTGAGACCAGCCTGAGCGACATGGTTAGGCCCTATCTTTACAAAAAAATACAAAAATATCCGGGCATGTTGGTGTGTGCTGTAATCCTAGCTCCTCAGAGGCTGAGGTGGGAGTGGAGAGGGGTGGAGGCTGCAGTGAGCTGAGATTGTGCTACTGTACTCCATCTTGGGCAATAGAGGGAGACCCTGTTTTGAGTGAAAAAAAAATATTTGTATACTTTAGATTGACTCATATTTTTTCTCTGCAGACACAGAAACTGATGACCAGCCACTACCAGATGGCAGCAACAGCAGAGACCATGGAGAAATGATGAAGCCAAGGGCAGCAGGATCAGCGAGGCTGACTGGTTTGCAAAAAAAAAAAAAAAAAGAAGAAGAAGAAGAAAATTGGCCAGGCGCAGTGGCTCATGCCTGTAATCCCAGCACTTTGGGAGGTCCAGGTGGATGGATCCCTGAGGTCAGGAGTTCAAGACCAGCCTGGCAAACATGGGGAAACCTTGTCTCTTAAAAAAGAAAGAAAGAAAACTAATCGTATTTTTTTTCTGCTCAGAATAACAGTTTTTTTTTTTTATTATAGAAAATTCCAAACTAACTTACCGCATATCAAAAATCTATAGTCAAATATGTAGTCAAATTATTTTTGTAATATTTAATACAGGTTACAAATGAAGGCAATTTATCTGTAAGTATGCCAACAGTAGGTTGTTATTAGGATACATATATTTGAATTAAGAAATTTGGGGCTGGGTGTGGTAGCTCATGGCTGTAGTCCCAGCGCTTTGGGAGGCTGAGGCAGGCGGATCACCTGAGTTTGGGACTTTGAGACCAGCTTGACCAACATGGAGAAACCCCATCTCTACTAAAAATACAAAATAAGCTGGGCTTGGTGGCCCATGCCTGTAATCCCAGCTGCTTGGGAGGCTAAGGCAGGAGAGTTGCTTGAACCCGAGAGGTGGAGGTTGCAGTGAGCCAAGAGGTGGCAGTGAGCCATTGCACTCCAGCCTGGGTGACAAGAGTGAAACTCCTTCCCAACAACAAAAAAAGAAAAGAAAAGAAAGAAATTTGGAGCCAGGCATGGTGGTGTGTGTCTTTAATCTTAGCTACTTCAGAGGCCGAGGCTATAAGATCACTTGAGCTGAGAAGTTCAATTTCAGCCTTCTGCACGTAACAAGACCGCATCTCTATTAAAAAAAAAAGAGGAAGAGAGAGAAAAAAAGGAAAGAATGAAAAATT